AATGAAGTCGACAAGGGGTTGAAAATTTATCAAAATGAACGAATGAATGACATTGATACTTACCACAAATTTTTTGTAATTTATCGATAATTGGAACAATTGTAAAGATAGAAGACAAAAAATTTTAAAAAAAAAAAAAAAACGAAAATTAGAAATTTTGCTCATTTCATTTTCAAATTGTACTTTTATAAAAGGGGAAAAAAAAAAAAGAGAGAAGGACAAGATATGTGGGCAAAAGAATGAGGAAGACCTAAAATCTCAAAAAGAAGCTTTGCTTAAGGGTATCAATATCGGACTCTGGCTAAGAAAAACGATCGATTAAAACAGAGGGTAAGTGTACAAGAAAAGGATTTGTAAATTGGGAACAGAAATTAACTATGTGAAGGTATCGGTTTGGGAAATAAATTGGTATGGCAAATAAAATCTATTCCGATCAATTTTGGTGACCGTATCGCTCTACAGATCCACAAGAACTGGAACAGATGCAGTGCAATGACATAGTCACAACAACCGTATAAGACAGATTAACGTACACAACGCGTACTATTCACAGAGCCTTATAAGAATTAAAACGTTGATAAACCAATAGACAAAATTTCATTGGGCACGAAGAGTAACAAGGAATCTGCTTTGGTGATCTTCCGAATGAGTGAAAAGCGTAATAAATGAATCTCTTGAAAATAATGCTGGAAATATTAAAAAGTGGGAGGAAGAAATTAAGACAGCGACAAATCGAAATATGTCTTGATCCTTCCTTCATGATCATTCACTTTCGAACAGTTCTCTAAAAGATCCACAAGTAAGTTCAAAGTTAACTATAATACAGAGGAAATACATGCATCAAAGTTTCAGGCTTTTTATTTTATTAATAAGGTCAACTTGGGAGAGAAAAATCTTTAAAAAAAAAAGTTGACAAAAAACATTTTTTCTTCTCACTTCTCAAGAATAACGATATGCCCTGAAAAGGCAGAAAAAGCCTGACCTACTGAGGTAGAAATAAACGTATCCAGTAGTACTTTTCTTTTGGACCGACAGTTCGTCAACTTGTTGGATCGATTCATCGTTACAAAGAAACCATTTTTTTGATTCGTTACACCAAAAATCGCATACGTAATGGCCTGGAGAAAAAATCTTTCAAGTTGTGCTTCCTTCTTTTTGACAATGGAATTTGTCCAATAATCGAAATTGTGCAGGAATTTGATAAACTGATTATCAAAAAAAATATATGAAACTTCAGTCTAGTCCATCAACGAACTGGGAAAAAAAAATGTTTACAGTGATGCATTCACCAAGCTTACCACTGTCGATTGTTTGTCCCAAATGACTCGCGCATGAAATAAGTCGATATGACGGCTGTATTGTAACTCCCTTAACAACAAAGTTATTAATTATAAAGGTCATTTTATTCAAGTTCTATGGCTCATGCAACATTACTCTCATAAATATTTCATTGCAACCAAATTACTACCCAATTAGTCATTTATTTTAAGAATTTATAGGCAAAAAACTCATAGATTTATCACAAGAGTTTTGTAAAACTGTAAAAATAGATCTGTTTCCTCGGAAAATTTTGTTACAGAATAACTTACACTGTCATTAAAAGCCATGCTATAAAAACCTTTGGGGTTGAGCCGGTTATCCTGAATAAAAATGTTCGTTTTAAAGTAA